TATTTAGCCCCACAGCTTTTCGCACGTGTGTGTCGTTTTCCATCCCCAGTGCAACTCATTACCGCTGCGGGCTCCGATCTGGAAGGTCCCCTTCCCCAAACTTTCCAGTGGGTATGGAAGGGAGAGAGCCAGTCAAGTTGATAAGCTAACAGGACAAACATACCAGCAGCTGAAGGCTGAGCCATGGTGCAGGGAAGTGAAGCGGCCTGCAGGGGGCGACACCACTGAGGCCCTGCAGTCACCCGGTCTACTGGTAGTATCCCTCAAATCAGACCAAGAGGGGAGAGGGCAGAGGGTGGCTTGGGGGACGAGCCAAACCACACCGAAATTTACAATTTACACTCAGTGATGGAGAAACTACAGAAAGAAAAAAATAGATTGCCTTAAAAAAATGAAATAGACAATATTTCACATTTACCTACAAAATCTAATCCCCCAAGGGAGGGTGTAATTCCAGTTCAAAGATCCAGAATTGTGGCCAATTCTGACAGAATAATCCCATCGGTTTCATTTCACAGAAGAAACGTCTCGCTGCTTCTCACCAGAGGTCCGCTGGAAAAATAAAAAAATGCAATTACACACATTCAATTGGTTTCTTCCAAACTGGGACTCGCACATCTACTGCTTAGTTTTTCTTCCCCCTTCGAGTTTGAGGAAGCTTGTTCACATAGGAAAAACGCAGCGTTTCGCTTAAAATGCAGGACAGAGGAAATTTCTAAACCATATGTATCGCTAAGCAGGACGGCGCCATCCTCAGCCAGGCGAGAGACGAGGGAAAAGCCCTGGATTGTCTTCCTGGCCAAAGTGGGTCACAAGGTCAGGTCACGAAGTCATGAGGTCAGCAGCGGGGGCTCCGGCCTGCCATTACAGCCACCTTCCCCCCCACCTCAATCCCAAACCCCCACTTCTGCTTTGTCTCATCGAAGCTTGACATAAATATTTAAAGCTCATATATATTTCACAGGATGACACCCTTAAATAATGGTGTGTTACCTTGATCCCGGCTGAGCTGCACCCCAGCCTCCAGCCCTGTGCTGCCTGGGTAGGAATAAGCACACCTTGACTGTACCAGGGGCAGATGAGAGCTTAAACCAAAAGTAAATGCATGACATCATCAGAACACAGCAGCGGCGTGTTAAGAGGTGAGCGCAGACCTTCATGGACCGCAAGTGAACAAGCTATGGTACCAAGTCCATGGGGAACGTTTTCACAGCGAAAGGGCCCTACGCACCTAGATTGGATTTACACACACACACACACACACACACACTGAAAGATTTCCAAAGGCATGCAGGACACTGACATGTCTGGCTAAGGGACAGATGTTTTTATTTGAGCCGGAAGGGCGACGTACCCCCTCCATCCACGCATTCCCATGATAACCAGACTTTCAGCTCCACAGATCTCACACTGCAAGATCAGGGATTATGCTAGAGAGGAGATGCATGTGAGCACAGCAGCGACAACAACGCTTCATAATTACAGCATCAGCACAACCCTCAGTCAGACATTTGCTGACTTATGGGACTCGAACCTGGAGCGCCAGGTTGCCCTAGATCCCGAATAATCCCACAGCTTTGCGTCTCCATCTGAAGAGCCGGGCTCAGGCAGCGCGGGGCGCTCTGCCACGATGCACGGCGACCTCCCACGCGGCACGGGCCGCTCCGCCGCGACGCACGGCGACCTCCCACACGGCGCGGGCCGCTCCGCCGCGATGCACGGCGGACCTCCTACACGGCGCGGGCTGCTCCACAACCCCAATTTATAAGGGGATGGATTTTAGCACAATGCAGACTGACAATGACAAAAGCTGGATGGAAGAGGCTTTAAGACATCCGCACTGCAATCCCTCACAGCAACACTGGCTAATTCCAGCGTCTTCCACAGAAATCCAGGTCAGGTTCCGTTCCGCTCGCTGACGGATAGGCTGGTGTCAGGGAAGTCACTTGTGTAGAAAGAGCGTCGACAGACCAGCCTGCAGTTTCACTGTTTTCAATCACTGATGGTCTAAGTGGCTTTTTCAGTGTCTGCTGGTGCGTTCCTCAAGGTCCCTCAAACACCCTGTACTTGATGGTCCTGCAAGTCAGCTTCTGTTGTATATAACCAGGAAAACCCTTGGCACCTGACTCCTCTCAAGGAATGCAGACACCCCACCCGACTGCCCCGTTTTCAAACGATGTCCTACACCAGCTCAGCACAGCCAAGAGCCAGTGAATTCACACGATTTCCTTCTATCTCATTGAAGGAATTCCACGGCTTCCAGGTTTAATTGCTGCAAGAATATAATTAATGACTGAATTCCCAGGAAACTGCACACCGTTCTGAAACACATTTACTGCTGTAGCACGCAGGGTAAAACACACAGAAACTGGACTCACAAACATTTTCTAAGCCTCATTATTCATTTGCCTTACTCAGGAGTTTTTGGTTCCTCTTCTGATATTCTTTCCCTCCATTTTCCCCGTTTTATTTGCCATACTGTATAAATGATGCAATAATGGGCTGCTACACGCATGTCAAGCGCCTTGGAGCCACAACTTGGAGTTGTGAAAAGTGCTAGATAAAAATAAACTGAATTGGCTAAAACCATTATGCATATTTGTTTTATTTTTTGCAAAAATGTGCCAGCCATGATGTTCATGGGTCTACATCAGGGGTGACCAACCTTACCCGCAGAGGGCCAGTGTGGATGCAGGTTTTTGGGATAACCTTTAGGTTCAGGTGTGAGGACTCTTCAGACAGTCAGTCCTCTAATTTGTAGTCTAACTAGAGAGCTGCAGCAAGAACTTGCATGTACACTGGCTCTTTCTGAATAAGATTGCCTACCACTGGTCTACATGGTGGAAAAACATCTCACTAAATTGGAGTGTGGGACCCTCAAAGAGTGCAGAGGCCAGCATCACAGGCGAGCTGGGGACGAGGGGCAGAGTGGCAAGGAGAAGAGAGGTATGGTCACCCTTAACACTGGCTGAAATCATGTCAGCCCACAGAGGACAGGTAACAGCCAGCTGATGATGGCTGGTTTCAATACAGATAGGCGTGCTCACCAACACAAGCTGGGATTAAAAGCCACTCGTGCTTTGGACCCAGATCCACAAAGAGCGAGGACACGCCGGCCCCTGCATAGTTAGGGAGGAGACCCCGTTCAACGAATGCTCAGCAGCCCGCACATCCAGAGCACTGGAGGACCAAGAGTCCATCCAGAGGGCATGTGCTTGCCAGGGAGATGCATTAACCACATGCTCAGACACAGCAGCAGCTCTCTGAGGAACGCCGACTCCGCCGGGACAGGTCATGTGACCAGGCAGCCGCCCGTCTCCGCCACAAGCCTGTGCTGTGGGGGCGACCTCATTCTGCACATCTGGCCTGTTAAAAGCTTCACACTGCAGTCAGGGTTAAAGGAAAATGCTCACATGTGACTTTGGATCTCCCTTTAATACGGACACCTTTACCTGAGGCGACGTACATTTTTGAGGAAGTAGGGACAGCCAGTCCCTGGTGCAATTGGGGGATAAGGGCCGTGCTCAGGGGCCCAATGGTGACATCACTCTGCCGACCCCAGGATTCAAACCAGCAACCTTCTGATCCCTGGCACAGCCACACGCCATCCCATTCACTTCCTGACACATGTGCGCATGCCTGCTCTGCACTGTACAAAGTTACGAGGTGTCAGCCTCTGACCCCCCCCGCACCGGGGACCCAGATTACAACAGAGCCGACGGCAAGGCGGTGAAGACAGTAACAGGAGTGTGTAGCAGGACAGCGGCCATTTCCCAGTCTGTCCCGGGACAGCAAATGGCAGGGCCACCTGCGTCTGTGAAATCCTGCACTTACAAATTACATCTTTTAAGATGTGGCTCCCCCACCAATCCCTAAACATGGCAGCAGGGAAGACACGGCTCAGCCGGACGGTCAGAGATACAGAGCCCTTGGTCCCTCACACCCAGAGCAGGGAACTGCAGGGATCTCAGCCAGCTGTACTCCCCCAGTACGGACAGCACATGCCAGAGTATCGCGGCCCATTGCCTAGGGTGGAACTTCAGCTCCTCTTTAAGCCGGCCCTGCGCTCAGTAACAGATGCAACATTGGTCCCGGTCCGGTCATAACAGCCAGCCTTAAGTGTGACAGCAGGACGTGGAAAACGACGACAGTCAGAACTGCAGATCTGAGCAGATGGACACCCGGAATCACGGCTGTATGAAATGGAAAGACCGCAGCCTCTCTCTCAAAATCCAGCTCTAGAGTACAGTGCAATAAGGACTCCTTGAGCAAGGTACTCCCAAATTCCTGAATTAATATCCCTTCCCTGCAAAAATTGCAGATTTGTATAAAAGACTGTCAACCCCTAAAGTTACTATGTTAGCACTGGGTTGGTGGCTTTGCGGTCAGCAAAACCGACTCTTTACCAAAACGTCCTTCCAACCGACTGCAGACGCTCGTACCTTCAGCTGCACAGAGCCGGTGGGCGAGGACGGGCACTTTAGTAACAGCAGTGCCGGCATAACCGCTGGCTAAGTGTGATACAGTGCAGTAATAGTATTATACAGTGCGATGATAGTTTTACACGGCATGATATACTTTACAGTTATTCTGTAAAATTCACAGTTAAGCGCAGATCCCCCGCGTCTTAATGCACTCGGCAGCGGACCACCGCACTTTTCATGCCTTTCCCCCCCGAACAGGTGTGCGCACATGGGCAGAGGTTCTGCCGTGCGTCGGTACCGGCGGATTAGCAGTACAACGTAAAGCCAAAGGCGCTTAAAGGTGCGACGAAAGCGTGGCAATCACCACATAGCCTACCGGTGCAACTACTGCCGGTCAGGTGCTCGATGCCCCGCTAAAGTTCATTTCCACAAATCGAGCATATCATCCCCAAAGAGACAGATCCCTTTCCGTGAACACTAGGCGTGTTCCCCCTCCCCAGCACCCAGCGGCACATCCTCTAGAGCCCCCGAAACGCCCCGCAAACCTTGAAAAACGCCCCCATCCCTCGGTCTCACCTCAAACAGCGGTCCGATCCGGTTTTTCTCCAGGTAAAACTGAATCCGCGACTGGTGCTGAGACGCCATGAGGATAAACGCTGCAGGCGCTTAAAACGTGAGAACGCTGCAAATCCCCCCCTAAAAATCACGGGTGCATTTCTGCTTAGAGCAGGAAAAAAGAGAACAGAGGCAATCTAACCCGGCGCGCCTGTACCGGAAAGCCCCGGTGAGAAGCCGAGCGGAGCCGGAGCGCAGCGCCTGTGAAGCCGGCGGCGGTAACCGAACTGTCAGCGCGATCGGCTCCGGCTCCGGCTCTTCGGCTCGGTACCTGCGGGCGGACTGACGGACGCGTCCCTGATTGGCTCCGCTTTGGCCCCTAATTATCTCCAGTCCGGGACCCTCCCCATTTGTAAAACTTTAACACGAGCATTAATTTACTCACCTCTTCATTATCGTAGTTTGCTCTTTAAATCTTATTAGGTTATTTAATTATAAATTAATCGCGGAATTTAATTATTTTGAGTCACTGAAGGTAATTTTTCATCGCCTGTAGCCTACTGAAAACGGATATCGGCCACATGTAAACCATATTTATACTGCCAACGACAGTATCTTAAATTTAAGTCTTCTAATGTAATATTCATTATTTTTAAATAAAATTTCAAAGATACGTGAACCTGATACGTGAGTGGGTCACGTACCACCATTAACCGTAGGGTAATTTTACAAAGAAAACTACAAAAACCCGCATTATTAACGGAGAATGTCAGTTTGTAAAGGGGGAACTTACTAACATTTTGTGTTTGTCTACAGAGGGCTGAATATTCCGTCTTTATACTGGAGGTTATACACTGCAAATTAATGTCGGGAATAGTGTCCAAACAGAGATGCAATACTGCCATCGACCGAAACTTTTACCATGCTATAGGCCTATATTTAAAATATATAAATCCCATTCTCCCTTTTGCTGATCGGGATAATCTCTGAGACAAACTGTTCTGTCTGCATTGCTTCTGGGTGGTTCTGGCAGCCGTACATCGAAGTCGGGATTTTACACTGCGCCAGATATAAATGTAACAGCGGTTAGACCTCACTCATTGCAGCAACTGTGTGCATTACTGCAGCTTTGATAAACAAGATTTATGGACGTTAACACGATATACTGACCGGATATATTACTATTAATTAAATAAGCACACATAAATGTCAGGTTCCGGATGTAACGTTCCAGTCCTTCGCACTAGGTGGCGTATATCATCCAGTGACCTTAGAGAGCCAATCTACTCTCCTCTGAAAAGGCATCAAATGGTACAACACCGTACAGCATCCACTGCTTAAATGGTCGACAACCCCAAAAGACTGATCCAAGGCTCAGCCACGTTGGAATGCAGTGAGGTGGGGCGGGGCTTTTTTTTTCTTTTTTCTTTTTTGGGGGGCCAAAAAGCAGCACATTTCTAGGTACAGGTGGGGGTCAGTTACGTGGGTGTGATGCTGGTGTGGAAATTGGCAATAAGGAGACATTAAATATAACAAGAGGTGTTTATATGAGAAGTGGAAATGAAGGCCAGCAGGGGGTGTAGTGGTTAAAATTCCACACACAATCAGAAGGCTGAAGCTAACGTTACCATAGGATGCCCCAGCTGCATTAATGCTGTTCCTATGCCGTTTTTAAAGAGGGTCTTCTGATCCACCACCAACACTAATGCCACTTTGCAGTCATGATTCTCTCTGACAGACTGTCCTGAATGCCTCAGTTCCTCCTATATATTATATTCACAGTATAAATCCTCCACTGTCAGTCATCATGGACCAGAGTTACCTACCATCAAAAACCACGGTGAGGCCTTTATTTCTCAGAGGCCACGTCAGCATTCAACAGACATGTTTATTTAGCTTTTATCTGAAGCAGAAAACTTTTTTTGGAGAAAGCAGGGTCAGTCTATCCCATGGCAAATTATGTGTCAAGGGCACTGAGATTGGAACTGGTGACCATCCGAGTACAGGGACAGCATCCCAACCCATAAAGCCAAGCAGCACCCCTGAGTGACCATCACCGACACCAGGTCGAGAGGTTAATCAGAACGCAGCGCATGTGGGGAGAACAGCACCCTCTTCAGGTCCAGCAGTGAGCATTGTGGTCGTGGGCATCGATCTAGGACTCAGATAAAGACATCTGCTGGTAATCAATGAACTATCTGATCCAGACCAAAATAGATTTATTGCCTGGACAAATATACAGACTGCATGCAAGGTCACTGCATTCTCTTTAAGGTGCCGAAGTCCTGAATTACTTCACAGGAAAGCCCATGTGATACCATTGATAGATCGCAAATGAAACATAGAGCGAAAGACCCAATTGTTTGGCACACGGAAGAAGGAAACTAGGATCAGTGCCCTTTTCAAATGTTTAATAGAAATTAATAACTACAGTAACATTATAGATTAGTGGGTAATGCTTAAGTTCAGTCAAGCATTTGTTTAATGACAGCAAGGAGGAGCTTCAGGTCAATTTACCAAAGTAAATAAATTACTCTCATCTTCACGTATCAGTCCTCTTTACAGTCTTCTTTACATTTCCTTGCTTTAAAGTTTTTCCAGGTTAAAGTAAGAGAGGCTACACTGAAGAGAACCTTAGATTTACAATAAGACATTTAAATTTGTATACATTTGAAACATTATGACTGCCTAACAGTACTGAAGATTTAACCAGGGCAGTTAACGTAGCTTTTTATATTTGCATAGTAATACAATAATCTATAAGGAAATGGATACAACTGATTAGCAAGTATTTTTTTTAATGAAAATAAACATTTCATCCTGAGTACTGTATGTATATACTGCGTATATACATTATTTATATATACTACTATATATGTCTATATATTATATATATGCATGTAGGTATATAGTCTGTCTCGTTTTGTATGTGAAGATCTTAGCACACCGGGTGACTCTCACAAAGAGCAGGGTGGGCTGGTTGTGTTTTGTGACATGAGAGTATTGGGGACGGGACTCTGTGGCACATGGCAGTGCTGAGCATTGACTACATCATTTGTCTGTAGTGCCCTGTTACTGTTACCGCCTAGCAGATCATGTCAGTTAAAAGATTGTCTTCCTGTCCAGTCTGATGTTATAAAAGGCAGGAAAAACGTCCTGCAGACAAAAAAAACACTAATCCAGTGTTTCCCAACCCGGTCCTCTGGGATCCCCGATGGTCCCCATTTTGCTCTCTCCCACCTCCCTACCAGACAGTCCATATTTTTGCTCCTCTAATAGCAAAACCGGGAGCTGGGAGCAAAAACATGCACTGTCTCGGTGTCCCCGAGGACTGGGCTGAGAAACACTGCACTGCACTGCATTAATCTAACTGTGAGACAACCACAAGCTTCCATCTGTTTACCAGTAGGGGGCACCAGTACAATCCCCATTATCACATAAACTGAAAGCACATGAAACAGGACGCCAAAGTGCTGCTGAGTACTGTTACAGGAAATGTACATAATTCAGTGCGCAAAAAAAGGTGTAATTTCTCATCCAGAGCAGTTATTTACAGCAAATCCCTTCATAAACTCACTCCGGAATGAGCTGATTGTTAAAACCATGCAGAGATTTCTCCAGGTCCTTCTTTAGATTAGTTTTTTAATACCAAGTTACTGAAAATAAAAATGAGTTGTAATGTAAGTGGAACGCAGAGGAACACACACACAAAATAAAAGCACTACAGAGTTACACGCAGGTAGTATGTAAAAGGGGGGGAACCCAGAGAGCCAATGTGACGCCGAGGCCCGCGGCCCAGGCCCGGTGCCGGCCCGACTGCTGCCTGGGCCGTCGCTGCTGCCGTCTGGTCCTGCAACCTCATGGCTCGCCGTCCGGGGGTGGGGGCTGGCACAGCTTGTACAGCCTGGGAAGGAGAGATGCACAGAGATGTCAGAGCCCCCCCCCTCGAGAGCAGAGCTGGGCAGTAAGTCCCGTAATCAGAGCTGCTGATCCCCTAACTGGACTGGCCAGTGGTCCAAACAGTCCCAGCTCACTGTGCCCTTAATGGAGAGCTGATCTGATTGGGCCTGCTCGAGTGTGTCAGCCAAACACAAGGTCGCAGTCATTGTGCCATTTTACACATTTTGTACATTTCCCTCATACACAAAAGTTAACTTTCTTCTCCTTGCGTCATATGGGGTCACGCTAGAACATCAAACATTAACGGTATTTTAAAACCCCTCATTTTCCGCTACACTGCATCTCTGCCAGAGGTCAGAAGCCCTCTTGCAGGTTCTGTGTTTAGGTCACTCCAGTTATCGCTGAGAAGCTTAATTAAATGATCTGTCTTGCTATTGAACCTTAAATAACGATCCGCTTGACCTAATTGTGTTTGCCAGTTTTGCTAAGTGGTTCTCAATAAGGCTATCAGCCAGAGGCGGCTTGCAGTCAATCTCCGCTTTTAGTGACGGTGACGGGTCGAATGAAGAGAGTATTTCTTTCCCTCCCTTCGGGTCAAACAGGTCAGGCCCATATTGTCCGACACCTCAGAAAATATGAAGTACCCTAAAGAGGGGCATGTGTTGCTCAGAGCGGGGGGAGGGGGTCTAGGCCTCTCTACTGGTATTGGATGGTCGTCGGATTGAATCCAACCTCAACAGGGGGGCATTGGACATTGACACTTGTGCAAATGCAAATGAAGCATCATTTCATTTCAGGGTTGAAAGTGTAATGAGACAGGCAAGAGGAGGCGGCAAAGGAATACAGTGAACGGGGAGGGGGTACTGCTGAGGGGCTGCTCTATCCTGAGGCCATCAGTCCCACTAAAGGCTCAGGCACGCTGCACAACGATCAGGGTTTAATATCTCATTAAAAAGCAGTAAAGATGGAGTCGTGAGCTTCACGTCACCTGGGCACCGATGATGGGGTCCGGTCCCGCACCCCCAGATTCTTGGCTGAGTTCTGGACTCTCGCTCCCTGGTAAAAAGGTAAAGGGTTTAGAATGTCACTGATGCACATAAACATATTTTCTGTACGCAGCTGCCGGTCCTGAGCAGGAACGCTGTGCCGTCACAAGCTGTCAGGACAGCATATTCCTGGCTCTAAGACAGGACAGGTCATTATACCTCAAAGGTGCTCAGAAAATAACAGCAGTGGTGCTTGCCGTCCCCGGGCTGCGTGTGCGCTGCGTCACACGGGCATCATTAACGCTGCGATGCCGTTGGGAGATGCATTGCCATTCTGAGCTCCTCGCAAACATCCCTACAGTCTAACTCAGCATTTCAGACACGTCACCATATTTCACAGGACCCTGACTGACGAGGCTGGCCTTGTCTGCCGTCACGGAGGAACCGGTCTGCTCACTGTTAATGCTGACTGGGGAAACTGGCACATATTTTACGTCGCAGAGACGAGCTGCAAGTTCCTCATATGATAAATCACCTCCAGCGAATAATTTCAGCAGCTCTGGGCTTTTATTTTTCTTCAAACAGTCAGGCTGCCTTTTATCAGAACAAAATGCTGACAGACACACACAGACAGGCGTGACAGGTACACATGATCAAGTGTGACAGACACACACAGATATCTATGACAGGCACACGCACACAGGCATGACACACACAGATATCTATGACAGGCACACGCAGACAGGCATGACACACACAGATATCTATGACAGGCACACGCAGACAGGCATGACACATACAGATATCTATGAC